AGCCGATATTATCTTCACACTCATTATCATAATCAAAGACACAACTTAGTTTTTCAATATTATATTTTTTCTCCTAAAGTGTGTGACATATTTCAGGACAGACCATGGTTAAGACAAAATTGACCAATAGCATCTAAATTTTGATCAAATTTTTTGCTTAATGATGCTCTGTCATGTATAGATGCAACCAAATCTTTTTACATTGTTTTTTTAAGGACAGTCAGATGTTGTTTTATTATTTTAACCATATTGAGTGCACTGCATGAAACAAAAAATTTTAAATCCATTTTATACATGATATTGTCAGTTTTATCTTTAGAATAAAATTTTATGATAGTGTCAGTTTTAACTTTAAAATATCTTTGTCCTTTTAAAGTAACTTCATGAACAGTCATGGTAACATTTACTCATTTGGCAACCAGTGATGCAGGCTCTCAAAAAGGACTCTGGATTTGAAAGTCACAAAAAGATTATTTCTTTCTGGTTTTTGATATCCAGGAGCTCTAAAAATAAAGCTTATGGACTACTTTTGTGTAAAGATCCAGACTTTTTGTTTAGAGGAACAATCAATTTTCGAACCCAGAATCCTTTGGTATAATGGCAGCAAAGACTCCAGGACTACCAGCCTTAAAACATTAGGTTCCAAGTCATTAAATCTCAGGATTCTTTTCTTATAGCAGATCATAAATCAATCAACATGTTTAGAGCTTCTGAAAACCAGAGACCAGATGAAAATAGAGATATAGAGCTTGAGTCTTTTAGGGACTCTGCATCCCTGTTGGCAACTTTTAGTTTTATAGTTTAAATGATTATTTATTGCTTTTCATCAAAACCTGTGTGCAGAAGTATTATTTCATTGTTTTTATTATCAGAGAGTTTAAATCCATCTTGAGCTATTGACTGGCAATTCTTTAAGAGTCTTTAGCTCTAAGAAGTTGCTAATGGTTTTTTTATCTCTTCTCACTTGTTCTCTCATCTGTTAACATGGTTGATTCTGTTACCTTATCTAAACAAATGCAGCGACTTTTAAAATGGTTTTTAAGGGAGTTGTACAATTTCTTGAGCATTTTATCATTTTGTTTCAATTCTGACATCGTCATTCCAACTCTTTTTTAATTGGATTTTTCTGTTTTGTTGTTTATGTCTGAACTGACTTTGCTAAGAATATAAATGAAAAATAAATATTATCAACTATTTTACCCACCACAATGTGTTATTTGAACAATCTAGGAGGAAAAAATTAATTTCTAGCTAGAGTATAGCATTTAAAAAATTATTGTACATTTTTCTAACACCAAAATCTGTAATTGCAAACATTGTGCATTTGAAACTTCTAAAATGGTTTTATTTTGAAATAAGGATTGTTACAATTTTTTCTTATTATTATTGTCTTCAGGTTTTAATAAATATCTTGTACTAACATGTAGAACTAAATAAAAAAGTAATTTTATATCAAATCAAAAATTTGTTTTATAAGTTTTATGTAATTTTTAACTTATAAAAAGGTGATTGCAAATTGCGATGGGGGTTATTCATCTCTCAGCTCTCAGAGAGGCTGATTCCTTCAACAGCTGTAAAATATCTAAATATTAACAGTGTCATGTTGCATATGGATGGTGTTCCTGTTTGTACTTTTGGTGTGCATATTACCTGTGCTTTAAGTCAAGTTTTTTTGATTTTTTAAAAAAATGTTGAAAGTATCAAAAACTATAAAACACAAAAAACCATTGTCATTACCAAGCATTTACATTCTTAAAAGTTCAACCCATTTGTTGAGAATAGGTTTCATACTATTCTTTTATGTATTTACATTTAGCACCGCTTCTTTTCATGGCTTAATCACTCTAGAACTCTTTTTGTGATTTCTACCCTTGAGTAGAAATCTTTTGTCTTCCTGCTGAAAAATGCACTTCTTATGTAACTTCTTGGATTCAAGCTGGCACGAAGTCTTTTATTCCCACTCAATGATACCAAGTCAAGCCTCACTTTTCTTCATTGTTTTTATTCTCATTGTGCTTCTGCAATTCCAATAGTAACCATTACTTCCATATCTATAGGCAAAAAAATTGTCCTGAAAACAGACGTCTGTTTACTATTGGTAGAAATCATTGTAAAGAGGTTTTGTCTAATGCTAAAGCCTGCTGTTCTAAGGTCACAAAATATTGTATTTCATCTCAAAAATTAGGCTCCAAAGACTATAAGGGCAAATCTGAATGGTTCAAATTTATTGCTTGACATTCCTATCACTTCAGCTTCTGTATCTAAAGTGATTTCCTGCATAAACTCTTCTACTGCTAGTGGTATATTTTACTATACTATACTTTCAAAACTATTTAACAAGTGTTTATCAGAGTCTTGTTTTTCAGTCTGCTGGAAAGCGGGCTGGAAAACAAGATCATCTTGAATCTAATAACTTACTTTCTGATTATCAATATTGATTTCAGTCTTCTCTTTCTACTGCTGATTTGTTAACGATATATATATATATATATATATATATATATATATATATATATATATATATATATACATATATATATATATATATATATATATATATATATATATATATATATATTTTATTATATATATAATATTTTTTTACTGCTACTATTCTTTCTACTGCTGATTTGTTAACGGTAATTAGTGATAATAAGGTTTTATTGTGCATTAGATAGTTGTGAAAAGGTTAAAGCTATTGCTCTTGACATTTCTAAAGTCTTTGATAAAGTTTGGAATGCTGATCTTCTCCATAAAATTTCTTATTATGGTGTGTCCGGTAACATTTTTAAGAGTATTGAGTTATTCTTTGCCAATCATAGTATAAAAGTTGCCCTCGATGTACAGCATTTTCCTTCATTTTCTGTACTTTTATGGGTTCCTCAAGGTTCTATTGTAAGCTCTATACTTTTTTAAATTTGCTTATTTGCTTGGAAGGGACATTTGAGCTTGAAAAGGATCTCACTTCTGCTACAGCATGAGGCTATTAGTGGCTGGTGAACTTTAAATCAAACGAAACTCAATTTTTTTCAGCTAATAGTTATTGCAACAATCTATATCTTTCTATATATATGAATGGTAATGTACTTGATAAGTCATCTACCCTTCATCTTGCAGAATTAACTCTTACTTCTGATCTTTCTTGGAATCCATATATATAAACAATGGCAAAATTAGCATATGCTAAGGTTAAATCTCTTAATTATGCTCGCCACTTTCTTACTCCAGATTCTAATATTTATCTCTGTAAATATCAAACCCATCTTTGTATGGAATGCTGTTGCCATATATGGAGCAGATCTTCGAGTGATGCCCTTTCTCTTTTAGACAAACAATGTGTGAAAAAACACATTGTAAACATAGCTGGACCTGTATTTGCAAAAAACCTTTAACCACTGTTACATTGTCAAAATGTTACTTTTCTGTCTTTTTTGCTTTCTATAATGGGCGCTGCTTTAAAGAGCTAACGTCTCTTGTGCCATCTACTAAATTTCATTCTAAATGAGAATTAATTTTAGTCAGTCACAGTAAAAGGATAATACTTAATTGAATGCCAAGTAGCATGAGAATTTCTCATGTTACTCTTCATTCAATTTTGTCTCATCATTTTACTGTGACTGTTCTTAAGTGCTCCAAAAATTCTTATTCTAGTCTAGTTTTTTTCCTTGAACATCAGTTTTTTGGAATTTGCTCCCTTCTTCTTGTTTTCCTGATTCATATAATTTGGAGTCTTTTAAGTTGTCTGTTCATCATTATCTTGCTTTATAACCTTCATCTTTTCTCTTCCAGTAACTTCCAGCTCTAATAGTGGTTGCTTGTAGTCTTGTTCAAAGTGAAGATGTTAAAAAAAAAAAAAAATGAAATAAAATAGAAAAAAAAAATTGTTACCCATATTTCTAAAAAAAAAATTTATTTTTATATCATTTGCAGTTCATATTAAATAAATGATAACTGTAAAAATTTTAATTAAAGTATACCTGGATTGTTAAAAATTAAACATTTTCAGTTGAAATAATGATGATTCAGCATTAATGTCATCTAAAAAATCAACAACTTTGATATATAATATCTTTAAAATAGTTCAGAGGATTTTCCTTAAAAACTTGGAACCTAAATAGATTTTTGCTTGAAGAATTTGAAGAAATTACTCTAAGGACATGATGCCTTGTTTATACTATTTGACTTAAAATTATTGACTAATTTGTTATTATAATATTGTTAATATAAAGAATAATTAAATTATTGACAAATTTATTGATTTTTAGAGCTAGAATGAAGGTGCCCAAAGTCTCTGGGGGAAATGTTGACTTTATATCATTATTTTTTTTTCTACACCCTCAACAATATCAGGTCGTACAAAGAACATATCTGATTTAGATTCAAAAAAGGAGTTCATTACAAAAAAATAAGTTTTAAAATAATTTACAAAAAATAGACCTCAAACACTTTTAGGTGGGCAGTTAGGTCAGCATTGCTAAAAGCCAACCCTTATTCTGAGGGTTGCATTGTAAACTGTAATATATATATATATATATATATATATATATATATATATATATATATATATATATATATATATATATATATATATATATATATATATATTACATATATATATATTTCATTAAGATTGAGTAACAATAACTTTTTTTGAACATTTTATTTTTGCTTAATACTAACAACTTTTCTGCAATCATTCTTATAAACTCATTTTAATAAAATAATCACTAACTTTGACTTGATTTCTAGTGAAATCAAGTTGAAAAAAGGTTTTTTCATTATTTTTTCCAAGCATTGATAAAATCTCTTGCTCATTTTTAACATGTCTTGAAGTTTGAACAAGACACTGTAAAGTAGTTTGATATATTTTTTACATCTCCATAATTCTGGTGCAATTGTTAGTATTTGCACTTTATGGTGATAAGAGTCAGTTACATAAATTTACTTTTTGTTTCATGCAATAAAATGTCTAGATCATGATCTATCTTTAAGTTATTGTTAGAAATAATGCTGTTTGTTTCTGCTGTTAAAAAAAAAAAATCTTTTAACTGTCTATAGTGTTGTCAAACTTTTTTGTTTGTTTGTTTGTTGCAGATATTTTGGAGTGTTTTAGTTTTTTAAGACTTTTCAATTTGAATGTTGAAATCCCAAGCAATAGTAGTAGTAGATGTTTCATGTGAATTACAAATGTTCAAGTTATTGTATAAAGTTAGAGTTTTAATGTCTAATAAAAATGTTTTGATGCCTAATAGCGTTTGCACATTTTTTGTTATGTAGAGGCGATATGCTTGGTATGAATATTAGTTGCATGCCAACTTTAGATGCTATAGTTCTTTTTTACAAATTTGTAAATTGACATCATGAATACCCTTTAAGATACAGTTTGAGTCTTGAAAAACATTTACTATGCATATGACTTATATATTATGACCTTATTACTTAATGCATACTATGCATTAAGTAATAAAGAAGAATAATAAACTGCACCATATTAAAGTATTTAGTGGTAGGAGAGCAGTGGCAGAGCACTCTTTTTTTTATACAAGAGGTATTGAGCTAAACACTGCCACACCCCTGGTAGTACTGTCCCATTATTTTTTTTTTCCTGTGTAGCAACCTTGTGCATTAAGACTTGTGTTTTGGTAATAGACTTTTTTTAAATAATTTTTGTAAACACACTTTTATAAAACCTTTAACTTAAAGTTAAAATTATATTTTTGTAACCATGTTTTAACAGTATGTTTGGTACACTACTCTTTGGAACTATTAAATAAAACCATTTAATTCTACTTATTAATTATGGCTTCTTACAGTTGATAATAGGTTATACTATTACAAATTTTAGTCAGGTTGATTTATTGTCAAAAATATTTAATCAATAATACTTTATAATATACCAATAAATAAATAATAGGTTTGCATGATTAAAGTAAGTTACTTTGAGAGTTGATTTACCCATAAAAAGTGAGAACAAGTTATTTTTAGCGATGAATTAAAAGTTTTTAGCACAAAGAAGAATGTTTTTTTGGTTTGTTTATAATTTGCAAAGTTTAAATTTTACTTTTTTATATCGAAGACGCACCACAACTGATACACTGTTGGTATTTAGCTGATCTAAAATGCACCAAATCAACTAATTTGTTTATATAAAGATTCACCACTATTTCCATTGGTCAAATTTTCAAAATAAATCTAATATTATTGCTAGCTATCTGATTCTAATCCAATTAATTTGATCCAGACTTGGGTAAAGATGGAATCAGTCAATATTTGAGCAAGTAAAGATGGAATCAGTCAATATCTGAGTAAGTGAAGATGGAATCAATCAATATTTGAGCAAGTGAAGATGGAATCAGTCAATATCTGAACAAGTGAAGGTGGAATCAATCAATATTTGAGTAAGTGAAGATGGAATTAGTCAATGTCTGAACAAGTGAAGATGGAATCAGTGAATATCTGAACAAGTGAAGATGGAATCAATCAATATTTGAGTAAGTGAAGATGGAATCAGTCAATGTCTGAACAAGTGAAGATAGAATCAGTCAATGTCTGAGTAAGTTCAACATGTAATCTAAATAAGCATTAGATACATGGAGAAAAGTTTGAGTTGATATTGGCAACAAATTTAGTCACTTGGTGACAGAGATTTAAAGCAGACAACATTTTTGATTAATAATGACATTTTTATATTTATGTTTACTGCCACTTATTTTAGTTGCTATGTATTTATATTTTGTTTTGTTTTTATTTTTGGTTTTCATTTTTAAATATAAAATGTTTTTTTTACTCTATAATTTAAAAACAATAATCTAAAAAAAAAAAAGGTTGTTTAATATTTTTTTATTAAACTTTAAATTTAAAGCTTTCAACTCACAGGGTGTAAGTTATTACTTACATTTAGATTTTAACATCTGCAGGATATTTATATGATGCTACCATGCTGTATGCAAGAGCTGTTGATGCCATGTTTAAGAAAAATAGCAGTGCCTCTATTAATGATGCTCAACAAGTATTTGAATTTATGAAAATAACAAGCTTTGAAGGTATAATATATTTTAGGCAGGGTGTTTAGCATTGTCAGTTAGTCTTACCCCTGACACAGATGCAACACCAAAAACAATAACAACATCATCAAGGAATAATATATGTTTTTTAATTTAGTTTTATTATTCTTTATTATGTTTTATTGTTACTATTATTTCTTATTATTCTTATTTTTATTATTATAGTTGTTATTATTGCTATTATTTTTTATCACTTGTTATGCTATACTATGTTTTATTAATAATATTATTAATATTATGTAATGTATTATTTTTAATAATAAATTTACTTCTATCTAACTGTTTAAATGGTTTTTTAACTCTGTTTTGTTTCTTTTGAAAATAAATTAGGTTCAAAATATTTTTATTTACTTAAACTGCAATTGAGGAAATACTAACTTCATGTCACATAGTATTTCAATCACCAATGACCTTTCATAACACTTTCAATCACCAATGATTTTTCACTATATTTCTTGGATTTCTAGGTTTACTTATTCCTGATTTTCTCCATTTAAAACTTAATAAACTAATTTTATTGTTTTTATAATGGTAGATTTTATTCCTCTTTCCTTGTTTCCTTTCCTTTTTAACTTTATTTAAGTGATTCATAAAAATGTAGACATTGATCTTGTGGCAATATAAAAAATTGGAGTTAAAAGATAGTGAGAGCAAGGAAGAAAAACTCTTTATTTTATTTTCCGTTGTAAACCGTTGTTTTGCTTTTTAAAAGATATTTTTATAGTTGTTTAATGAGTGAAATAAAAAAAAGTATTCAAATTCTGTTCTAAATATTTTGACGTGGTGGGGATTGAACTCAAATCTTCGAGAATCCACTTAGAAAAAGTGCACTCTATTAACACACCACTACTACATAAACAACCATCTAAAACATTTTTTTTTGTACTAATGCAATCCTACCCCTTTTCACTGAGCAGACAATGGAAAATTTTTGAAAAGTTTTTGTATTAAATTTTTTAATTTTAATTTAAGGCCATAGGCATTTGAGGTTAATAAAATTTTGGTTAAGCAAGGCGAACAAAATTTTGGGTAAGAGAGGTTAACAAAGTTTTGGTTTTAGTTCATAACACTTTGCAGCACAAAAACATTGGTTAATTTTGCTAATAGTGTATGGTAAATACCTTGTTTTTCAGTAATGGTTTAATTATGGGGTAGTAAAGTATACTTTATGGCATTGTAAAAATGCATCAACTGCTGTACTTTTGGGACCAGCTCTCTATAAAATATTGAGAAAAAATTCAGATTCTAGACTTGTAAGTTTTTTTCATTTGGTTTTGCAGATTTTCCCTTGATTAATATCAATAGAGTTTAAATAATATCAATAAGATAATTTTTTGACCTTTCAGGATCATGAATTTGTAATTGGAGATCAGTAAATATCTTAGTTAAGGACAACACTCATAATATTTATTGCTTTTAAATGACAACTTAATGAGTTCTTTTAATAGAGCTCTTGAGAAATATGCAGGTTTATATTATTAACTAGCTTTTCAATTATTAAACAGCCAAGTTTGCTGCATCTATAAAAGAGATATTTTGCATATGGAGTATTGAAAGTTGATAAAATTGTTAAATATAATTAGTGGTCAATTCGGAGTTTTTCCAAGATGGGTAAGAATCCAAAGATGTAAAGATATATTTAAAGTGTTGGAAAAATTGATCTCTAACAGAGTTTTTTTTAAGAGATTTGTAACAAAACATTGTGCTCTTGACCAGTGGATCCATTTGGAACTCCGTCTCGACGGATTTTTCTCGGTTTTTCGGAGTTTCGGAGTTCGAGACAAATCGAGAAACTTCGACGAAACTTCGACGAAGTTTTTAGAAAATACCAATTTTTTATTCGTAAAATAATTGAATTCTTATTTTATTTCTACGTGGTTTTTACAATTGTAAATTGTATTTTTTAAAATTGTTTCAAATGTAAGTGTTCTCTTCGTTTAATAACAACACTAATATACATTGCAAAGCAATTGGTAATGCACAGTGGGCCAGGTGATGATGGTGAAAAAAACCTCAAAAAAAGTTTATTCTATTCAAAACCATATATTAAAACATGCTCATACTTTTCCATTGTACTATTTTAAAAACTCTTTTGTGTATATTAGTATCTTTTTAGTATTGATATTTTTTTAAATCCACAAAAATCAATTGCGGTATAATAAAATGTAATGCATAATAAAAAGCAAGAATTTTTTAATTTTTAAGCAAAGATATAATAAACAGTAACTTTTAAAATATTATGCGAATGTGATATTAGTTTATATATTTTAACTACTCAATAGTTTACCTTTACAAAAAAAAAGTTTAGTCAAGATCATTATTTATAATATAAACAAAGACTGGTCGTAAAATAACGAGGTAAGTTTTTAACATATAAAACATGTAAAACTTTCATTTTATACAAGTAGTGTATAAAATGAAATTTTTACTTTTACGTATTTTGTATGATCAAAATAATTTTGTCCACCATAAGTCTAAAATCCGGCCCACTGAGCATTGTGGCAAAATTGTGCAATAAAATGTTATCAGTGAAAATAAATAATAATAATAATTAATGTTTAATTATACTTACCTATCAGAATAAATAACTTAATAACTTAAAATGTGATAACTTTTCACAATTAAAATAAAATTAAAAACAAATATGGGAGGTCATTATCAAATTGATAATTTTTCTTTTATAGAAAAAAATGGTTTCGGAAGCGTGGAAGTACTTTAATAAAGTTGTGGTAAATGATAAGAAGTATGGAGATTGCAAAAAATGTCATAAAAGAATCGCTTGTCCAGGAAGCAGCACAAACGGCCTTATTGGACACGTCAAAAGTTGCGAGAAAATAGATTTGAAACCATTCAGTTCCAGACCAGTTTTGACTAAAATGTCATTAAACGATCTTCTTGCCAAGTTGACAGCTCTTGATGGGTATTTGATTAGGTCCATAACTCAATCTGAAACACTAAGAATGCTTTTTGAAAATTACGGGCATAGTTTGCCTAAGTCAGTGTCCGCAATTTCAGAAAAAATTAAGATGTTTCATGCTGAAGCCAAATACTTAATGATTGCTGAATTGGCTGCATTGAAAGCAAAAGGAGAAAAATTTGGACTAACAGGTGATGAATGGTGTAGCAATAGAGGTAGAAGATACTACAATTTAAATGTTCATCACGACAGAACGTATTGTTTAGGAGTGATGAGATTGCCATCTCCTAGTTCTGCTGAAACATTAAACATTTTGATAATGGAAAAATTAAAAGAATTTGGTATAGTTAGTGAAGATATTGCAGGTAAAACTACGGATGGCTGTAGTTGGATGGTGAAATTGGGTACCATATTTAAGTTTCCACATCAGATCTGCCAGAATCATTCAATTCATTTGAGTGTTTGTGATTTGATATACGCTAAAAAAGATTGTCGTAAAATTGTGAACAAAGAAACTGAATCGATTATTGAAACAGAAACAGAAACTGATGGAGAGTCTGAAGGAGAGTTTCTTATTGAATATTCGGAGAATGAGATTGAGTATGAAGAAAATATCGAAAAAAATCTACAGAAACTTCGAATACTAATTAAGTTTTTGAAATATTCATCGTTTCGATATGAAGTTCTTAAAAGAAAAATACACGAAATATACGGATCTTCGCATGACAAAGGACTGTTGTTCGACAACCGAACAAGATGGAACAGTGTTTTTAAGATGATTAAAAGATTTCTGGATTGCTTAGAAGCTGTAAAAAAAACACTCGAAGAGCTAAACTGCTTAAACATGTTAGCTGAAATTGACTTGGATTTCTAAAATCGCTGTCTGACTTATTGGAAGTCATTGCTGACACTGCAGTTCGCTTGGAAAAACCAAATACAACAATTTTGGAGTGTGACATTATTATGGAAACGTTAGTAAGGAAATTGAAGGTTGCAGAAACTGACATCAGTTCTAATTTTGCAGAGACCTTAATCTCCAGATATGAAGATCGTAAAAACGTTATGTTGGTATCATTGAGTCGTTATTTGCACAATCCCGATTTTTTTAAAAATAAAAACCACACATTTTTTTACACTTCCAAAAAAGATATTCAAATTTATGCTTCAAAATTATTTGATCAACTAATTGCAACAAAAGAAAATAGTCTCCAATCAAAATCAGATGATCACGCTAAAAACAAACAAGAAGAACCATCATAATTGACATCTTTTTTCTCCGAAATTCAAGAAGTTCTAATTCAAAATCAATCAGCAGCTAAAAAACCAAAAAAAGTCAAGACCTTCACTGATCAGTTGAAAGAATATGAAGTAACTGGTGTGAAATTAGAAACAGTTTTAAAATTTGAACTAACCATCCACAGAATTCAAGCAACTTCCTCGGAAGCAGAAAGAGTTTTCTCCTCGTCTTCCAGATTTGTCACAAAGTTTCGTAGTTCGCTTTCTGATGAAATGATAGATGTTTTGATCTTTTTAAAATATTATTTAAAAAGATCTTCAGTATAAATACTTTTTTTTTCAATTTTTTTTTTTTAATTTTTACTATAGGTGCCCCAACAAGTCTTTATTGCATAGCAACGCAGAAGGGCATTTAACTGAAAGTTCACGCCTTCTTCCTAACCAATGCCGGTTAGAAAGCCAATTATTAGATATAACTTGTTCGTTAAAAAATTGTGATAAAAAAAATATTTATGTACTAAGAAATATAAAAGTATAAATTTTTTAAAATTTTATTATGAATTATAAATCGAAATATTTAAAATTAAAAAATAAAAATACAAGAACAATGTTTAATTATCAAATAGAGAGTTTAATTTTTTTTATCAAATAGATAGTTTAATTTTTATAACAAAATATTATCGAAACTCCGATTTTTTCTCGACTCCGACGGAGTTTTTTCTCGATTTCTCTCGACTCCGTTTTTTCTCGATTTTGGATCCTTTGCTCTTGACGGGCTTTATCTAATTTGACTTATCTTTTGAAGGTGAACCCGTGTTGTTTGCACAATGGAGTTAAGGAAGTTTATGTCCATGTGCAGTAGTTGCGATTGGAGTGAGTTGAGATATACTGATTCAGAGGTTATCAATTCATATATGATCCACATATTGTTTTATAATATTTTCAACATAATAGAAAAACTATTTATATAAAATTTCTTTAAAAATTATTTGCATTAAAATTCAAAACCAATCTACAGTTCAGAATCTTTAGAAAAGTTAAATAAAGTTTTATTCATCTTTTTAGTGCCAGTTTAAACATTAGGCATGTTTGATGCAAGTTTTGATTGATAATAATTGATAATGATGATGATGATTTTGATTGATTGATGATTGATGCAAGTATACATATATATATCTATATATGTATATATATATATATATATATATATATATATATATATATATTATATATATATATATATATATATATATATATATAATATATATATATATATATATATA